TAAAAATATCTACATTAAATTTCATAATTTCACAGAAGCAAATTTCAAGCAGATACATTAAAATCTTTCAATGTCGTTACAATGAGCATGAAATTACAAATAACTTATATGTTGATTTTAGTTTATGTAATAATTACGTATTGTTACGCTCGCGATGGACGCGCTCACGTTTCGTCGCGTCATACGAAGTTGCACGTGTTAAAAAAGACATGAAATTTCATGTAAATATATAACGGATGCAAATTTCAAGCAAATATATTCAAATCGTTAAATCTAAGTTACTTGTAATTTTATGCTCATTGACAACATTGAACGATTTTAATGCACCTGCTTGAAATTTGCTTTCGTTACTTTACATGAAATTTAGTGTATATATTTTTAACAGTGCGCACTTTCGCTTCAGTATAGTAACAACACGCGTTTAATTGGAAGGAACACTTTAATATCACAAAGATACGATTCATACACAGAGACGATTCACAGAACACATTCGTACGCGATGATAGTCGAGACTCCTCTGGCTGCTCTCTCTCTCTATATATAGTATATGTGACGGTTACTATGGCCTGTGTTCCTTATAGTGGCGAGCATAGTTCGTCCTTCTTTAACGTTTGACAAACAACAAGGATGAAATGATTTCGCCCCGCGTGCATTAAGCGGAACGCACCCTATATAAAATGCGTGCATATACCTGATACGAAACGCAGCCTCTAAGAACAGGACACACGCGTCTCCATCAGAGGAGTACCGCGTTTTTCTTTTCGTTTTCGACGTTTACGGTTTTCGTTTTCGGTTTGCGTACCCCCCTCTATTAACACTGTTGGAGGTTCGTGCGTTACTTTGGAGTCAAAAATGCAACTAAAAGAAATTGTCATTATAGCGATTTGGAATCATGCGCAATATTAGTGTAATAAATTATGAATATTATTTACGTGCTGTATTCTTAGTAAATTATTAGTGAATAGAATATTGATTTTGTACACAATTGTTGATAATTCATCTATTCAAATTCTAGTTTTTCAAAGTCCTAAGTTGGCTGAGTGTGTATAAATCGGTTATTATCTACTTCGGACTGTCTCCCTATAAGACGCTATGTTAAAATGGTCAAGAATGACATTACAAAAAAACTATATGGTCAATATTGCTCAAATTATTTGTATACAGTGTTTATCTACATCATATTAAAAAATTAAGTCTCTAAATTGGATTTTGACTAACGCTCGAACCTCCTTAAATAGATACTTTTATGTTTGAGAAAACTGAAAATTTGAAAAATCTACATGGTCCTGTTGAATAATTTTCATTATTCTTTTTTCTTAGAGTTTCGTGATTTATATCGAATTATTTTCTTAATAACGGACATCTTTATTATCGAAATTTGTATTCCACATTTAACACAGCTGCCATATTCATACGGAATGAATTACGTATACATATACGCATATAAATTTAACGAATTTTTCTTTTCTTTAACGGTTCTGTCTGGTTTCGTAAGAAGACCGCGCCTGCTAAATGGCAACATTGATTTATAGATGTGACTTTGAACGAAATTGTTAATCATGAATGAATGTTGAGAATATGGAGTAAAACGTATATAATAAAAATAATAATTTTTTTAATAATCAAAAGTTTTTTAAATACGTGTATAAAATTTATAGCGGTATAAAATGTAGTTTTAAAAATTAATAATTACTTTAACTTTAACTTTTAACTTATTTGCAACTCGATTCTGTTTGGTTAGATATACATAAAAGATAAAGCTATATACACATACACGCACGCGCACACACAAAAATATTTTCTAAGATATAAGCCACATCTTTGAAAATGTGTAGCTTTATCAGGAGGGGGAGAGAGAGAGAGAGAGAGAGAGAGAGAGAGAGAGAGAGAGACTGAAATTCACAAATCCTTTTCGTAGATAATTCTCACTAAACATAATTGCCACTGTTGTTAAGCTCTTCGATTATTCGTTTCTCTTTAACCATGCATTTTCAACTTCTTTGTCTATGCCAGATCACAATTTCGGCAAATTGAACTGTTCTCAAATTTCTCGATGTCTTTAAAATTTTTTTAAATTCCATTTTCAAAAATTTTCGGAAAAACGAGCCAATTTCAAATAATAGCAACATATATGTTTAATTTTACCTCTTGTACCCATATCCAATCCCAGTCTGTGATTCAGTTATAAAATTTATGATCTAAAGCTGCGTCTAGACTATCGAGCCGAAACCTTGAGCCGAGCTTCGAACCGAAATTATCGAGCTGTACTTCGAGCAGAAATCAAGTCAACTTTTAACCAAATTTCACGAATGTGGCAAGCGATCCATATTGTACGTGATTTTAATTATCTGTTTTATATATGATAATTAAATATACGCACATATACAATAGACAAGAATACATTAAAAATAGCTGCTGCAACATATATATATGTATTATATAGGTATATATATATATATATATATATAT